TGCCTTTCCTCTTTCCTCTGCTTTTATACAATGCAAACCATTTCAGTTGCCTTTCACGTTCAAGCTGCTTCATCTGCATTTGAGTTCTAGCCATCTCCAAGGATTCTGATAGCATTTCCAGCAAATCTAAATTTCGAGTCATTGCTGTAATTACCTCTCCATTTCTCACAGACAAAAGCGACACCAACTCTAGTTTTTCTACCAATTCCAATAGCTTTTCCTTGTTCACCTTTTGTAAAACACCCAGTCACTTCTTCCATCCTCAGGAAACTCTTAGTGACTGAAAGTGCCTTTACCCCACTTTTGATTTCACGAACAATAAGTAATGAATCTAAACAGATTTTCAACTTCTGTCTTGAGTTTTACTTAAAGATCTAACACAATAGGCCCCAAATCTGTTTAGATCAGCTGGTAACTTTTGTATCCTAAATCTCTTCAAATCTGCTCAAAACACGGACGAGACACAATCTGCTATAAAGTGGAGGTTGGTCTCCTCTGAAACCTAAAGCCTAAACACCCAAAGAGGAGAATCCACTCTATCATCTGTAAAAGGATTGTGAAAGCAATTTCCAGTAGTTAAATAAAATAAATCGCTGACATTCACTTTCAACTCAACAAGGAACAATTTATTAATCTAACTCTAACAGTGAACAAATTCACTTAAGTATTGACAAACCAAATAATTCCCTTCTAACTACTACCTATTCCCAAATAAACAAAGATTCTAATGGTATGCTGTACCAATAAATGCAAGACCTATTTACATAAAAATGTAGAATTTGGTGTCTTGAAATTGCAGCCAGGTTGTGTATCTTCCAGAATGTTCTGTGGCTTTTGCACAGATTCTTCAGTCAGCAATGCCTTCTCTGTCAATTTTCTCTCAGGAACGCTAACTAGTTGTGCCGTTGTTACCAATGCTATCCAGATGGTATTTTGCTGTTCTTCCAGACTGTGTATTAAAAGATCCCACAGTCATACGTTACAGCAAGAAGAAAAAAAACTAACGAGAAAGACGAAGGAGTTGAGGTACAGTTAACTGACACCCGTTTGATGAAATGGTAAAGGAAAATTCTGAACAGGTAGAGGATGAGGCAGAGGTGTTTAGTGCTGAAAGATTACGGGAGTTACAACACAAAGATGAGACAATAAAATATCTATATCATAAAGCCTACTCAGAAAAGGAATCAGAATGTATTCCCGAGTGTTATTATCTAAGGGTAGAATCTTAAGGCGGAAATGGAGACCTCGGCAGGTTTGTGTAGATGAAAAATGGGCGGAAGTTCACCAGATTGTTTTGCTGGTAGTGTACAACGGGAAGTATTACAGATAAAACACGAATAAACTGTAGGAGGTCATTTAGGAGTGACAAAGGCGAAAGGTAAAATACAAAAGCAGTTCTGTTGGGTTGGGTTGCAAAAGGATGTCATTGAATTTTGCCGTACCCGTCATACTTATCAAATAGTAGGAAAGCCACAGGCAGTAATAAAACCAGCGCCTTCGATGCCAAATTCTGCATTTGAAGAACCTTTCACACGGGTTACGACTGATTGTGTAGGTCTACTCCCTGGAACCAAAATTGAGAACCAATATTTGCGAACACTAATGGATGTGCCCACCAGATCTACGGAGGCAATTCCATTCCAGAATGTCAAGGTAAAAAAAATGGCTGTGGAGCAGTTGTTTGCTTTCTTTACCTTATGGCCTACCCAGGGAGATTCTGTCACACCAAGGGTCCAATTTTACTGCCAAAATTTTTAAGAAGGTCATGGATAGTTTAAGCATCAAGTACTTTAAATTGATTGCGTACTATCCTGAATCCCAGTGAGCATTGGAATTGTGGCATCAGACCCTAAAAATCATGTCAAGGGCCTATTGCCAGGATTACCAAAACGATTGGGATAAACATATCCCATTTATATTGTTTGCCATTACAGTTGCGCCAAATGAATCGACCTAGTTTACTCCATTTGAGAAGTGAGAAGGCCTTTAATATTAATTAAGGAAAAGTTGATAGATCTGAAGTCAGAGATCTCACAGTTGTATTATGATTCTGAGGTGAGAGAAAGATTAACCAGAGTCGGTGAATTAGCTAGCCAACGTCTGAACGTGGCACAGCATTTAATGAAGCAAGAAACAGATAAGAAATCTAAAATTCGGACGTTTGCCCGAGGGGATAAAGTATTGGTGCTGAAACCAGTGGTGGGAGATCCCTTCAAAGCAAGGTTTCGTGGCCCTTATCAGATTGTGGACAAGTTGAGTTAGTTGAATTATCTGATGAAGATGCCAGTTAGGGAAGAAACTTTATCGAGTATGTCTTGGAATATGTTGAAACCCTCCTGTGACAGGCACAGGGAACCAGAGAAACAGATATTAGTCACTGCCCCTCAGAGTGAGGAATCACATCCAAATTATTTGCACTTTGAAGTTACTCAATATAAATTAAATAACAGGGAATTTCTTGGAGAATGGGATAGGATTGTGAGCTATCTGAATCAGGAACAGAGAGGTGAACTGAAAGGCTTGTTGCAGCAACGTGAGGACATATGTGGTAATAGAATTGGGAGGACTAGTACTTCAGTACATGAATTTGAAGCAGGGAATGCTGTTCCGAAACAACAACTCCCCTGCAGGCTTTATCCTCTCAAAGCCAAACAGATACCGAAGGAATTGGAAGCAATGCTCCAAGAAGACTTCATTGAGCTGAGTCGATGTGAGTGAATTCGCTGATCGTGTTGGTTCCCAAACCTGATGTTACAGTACTCAAAGATTCTGCATAGTTTATCAGAAATTAAACGCCATAAATAAATCGGACCATACCTATTTCCAAGGCTCGAGGATTGTGTGGAAAAAGTAGGACAAGCCACTTACATCACAAAGTTGGACCTACTGCGTGGTTACTGATAAGTATCTTTGTCAAAGACAGCAAAAAAAGTTTCTGCTTTTGTAACACAAAATAGGCTGTATCAAGTTAAAGTAATGCCCTTTGGAACGAAGAATGGACCACAGCATAACAGGATTGATTAATTGTCTTGTCAATATATATTACTTAATGATCTATGGACGTTCATGGAAAGATAAAATTTTGCAGTTGGCTAAGATCTTTGAAAGACTACGGGAGGCGAAACTGTTTATAAATTTAGCAAAAACTGAATTGGTGAACAGAAGTGATGTTCTTAGGACACAACATCGGACATGGGAGGAACATGAAGACGAAGGTCATCAAGAAATTTCCAAGACCATCTTCGAAGAAAAAGGTGCTCTGATAGTTGGGAGTGAGCAGATTCTACCAGAAGTTTATACGTTCATAGCACAGTGGCACCACTGATGGATTTGCTAAAGAAGAATATGAAATGTCAGTAGACAGAACAATGCCAGCAGACATTTGAGAATTTCAAAGCTGTGTTAATCACTGCACCAGTTTAAGGCACACTAAATTTCTTGAAAACCTTTAAAACCACTTTCAACACCATTGTAATATGGTTAGGAGCTTTGTTGATGCTGGAGGATGTTGGTGGAATTGAAAAGCCAATTCGTTATTTTTCGAAGAAACTCAATATTCATCAGAGAAAATACTCCACCAGTGAAAAAGGATTGTGGAGTTTGGTACTGGCCTTACAACATTTTAACATTTATAATACTAACAATATCTCAGAGATGGTTATCTATACAGACTACAATGCTTTCATCTTTTTGGAGAGATTTAAGGACAAAGATATTAGACTATTTCTTTGGAGTCTTATGTTATAAGCTTTTAATTTGCAGAGTGTACATATTGCAGGTCGTAAAAATCTTTATTGTAAATGCATTATCACGGCTTTAAAAGAAAATGTGTAGATAAGATGGAACTAGTGCAGTCCAATGTTATGTTTAAGCAGAATCAGTGTGAAAGGTGTAACTTTAGATTACTGACCTATGTACTTCGTGCTAATGGTGTTAAGAAAATGAAGCCAACTTTTCATAATTATGGTCCATTCTTTTTTAAGGATGGAGCTGTTACAGAGTTGTGTAGAATGCCCATGAATTGGAAAGCATGAAGCTAGAATTTGTTTGTATAAATTATAGTGGGAAAAGGAGTGCGTCACACCTTTAAGAAATTGTACTTTGCCTATGCTTGGAAGTTTGCAAGTACTGTTCGGAGAGCACCAAACTGAAAGAAGTGTATCAAAGGCCTTGCAGTTGGCAGGCAAAACAACAGTTTTGTTTTGATCTTTTTGCAACAAACTAGACTCGGTCAATTAACTTAAACCAAGCACTGAGCAACAGAAAACCAATGGAATTAAAACTGTTATAACAAGGTGTAGAGCTGGATGAACACAGCAGGCCAAGCAGCATCAGAGAACCAGGAAAGCTGACGTTT